GAAATTTTTGATAATTACACTTTTTTTAATCGCGAAAGTGCAGGACACAAATACTCCCTAGATAGGCAGCACATATTATTTTGGAACACAGCTATTTTGTCTGCTGTTTAAGCTGCTGGAGCACATTAAAGATGCGGATGGAGATGTGATGACCCATGTAGATCCAGGCTAACAGGTGCAGACTGTTTGATAATAGTGTTGTTTACTCTGCACTTCCAAATGTCACCAGTCTTTCCCGCAAAAAAAGCCAACAGCCAGGCAAGGACATTATGATGAGGGACAAAAAATGGATAAATGTCGATTAGGAAACATTGACCAACAGCTTTATGTCTGGCTGACACAGATATGAGCAATCAATTATTGTTCCATTCCTGTCTGTCACTCTTCTGTTCTCTCTAAGTTGTATAATGTATGACGTGCATTTTAGAAATGTGTGCTACTGTAACCAACATACAATATGCAAATAACATAAAATATTAAGGTAACACTTTCTTTGTTACATGTAGTTACTATAGTAATAACTATAAATTATGCATAATTACATGCAACTAACCCTAAACCAAATCAAACCAAAACCTAATCCTAACTCTTTACATTAAGTTGCTTAATATTACTAGATACTTAAATGTATAATTACAAAGACACCTTAAAATAAAGTGTAACCAAAATTAATAAAGAACTGGGTGAACTAGAATGTTAAGTAATCATCAAATAAATATAGATAATCCACAACATTCGATGGTGTAAACCTAAATGGATAGCTCACCCATAAAAATTAAAATTTTACTCACCCTTATGTCATTCCAAATCTGTATGACTTTCTGGTTACAATTTATGTTAAGGTAATTATACTGTACAAATAAGTTCCGAGTAATATTAATTAACAACATTCTATACAGTAATAAGGCTAAGGGTTTGGTTCAGGGTTAGTTTCTTGTAATTATGCATACTTCACAGTTATTATATGAGAAGTACATGTAAGATCTGCAACAGGGACACTGTAAAATAAAGTGTTAAAATAAAGTGTAAACTTTTGAAACTCAAAAGTTTAAAAATATTTTAAAAATAGTGCAAAAATTCATTTATTTCAGAAATTCAACTTAAAAAGGTAAAACTAATATATTACTAGACTCATTACATGCAAAGTGAGATATTTCAAGCATTTATTTGCAATAATTGAATATATTAAATATTGAAATGAATAAAAAAATAAATAAATACAGAAATGTCGGCCCTCTGAAAAGTATAATCATGCATATGTTCTCAGTATTGAATTACTGTGGTGTGGCACAAATTCTAACGGCAAAATATTCACATTTATTTTTTCAAGTTTCACCTGAATGATAAAAGGCTCTTCATATGAAAAAGATTGCAGACAATTAAACAGAGCAGACACACTGTAATAGACAGTTGCAATAAAGACTTCCATTACGTGTGCAATTAAAGTTATCATGATTTCTGACTTTAAAATGTTCTCTCGTGTACTTTTCCCTCTATTTATTTTAGTATTCCTTTCAGCTCTGCAGTTTTTAGAACTGGCATTGCTTCCACCTTGCCTCCCTGTACCCAATGCTCAATGCCCCCTGACAGTGCAGAACTGTGCCTGATGGGCAGTGCTGCTCTCTTCATGTGTATGTGTGTGCCTGGCACGCTCTCTTTAGCTGGTGTCAGTGGTTTGTGGCAGCCAGCAGCGTGTGTTCCAGCTCCTGTGTGGCTGTAACTGGCCTATGGCTCTACTCTATCTGCCCCACATCGCTAATTCCTCAGGGCTATTTCCCATCTCCCAGCATCCTCTTCACCTGCCATGCATATCAATCACTTTAATGGGGCGTGCTTTCCGATAAAAAACAACAAAAAAAAAACAAACAAAAAAAAAAAAACACTCAGCTAAGCTAAAGTGGGTCAGTATTTTTTCACTGGTGACCCTGCTGAGGGGAGGGGAGGAATGAAAAGGGAAATGATCAAGAGAGCATATGAAGAGTTCAGATGCAAAAGCCTCTAAATGCCATTTGAAATTTTCTTCTAAAATGACCATTTTTTATCAAGCTTGTATATTTAAGTTCAGTAATTTCACTTAAATGACAATTAATAGGTAATCTTCATTGCCATTTAAGTGAAATTACTGAACTTAAATATACAAGCTTGATAAAAATGATCATTTTAGAAGAAAATTTCAAATGGCACTTAGAGGCTTTTGCATCTGAACTCTTCATATGTTGATAGAAATATACATAGAAAGAGAGATTCACAGGAAACGAGTCCTCAAACAATGGGTCTGCGCAGCTGGTAGGCTTCTAGTGGCCTTTCACGTCCATTAAGTGAACAGAGGGCACAGGGTCAATATAACAAGCGGCAGCACAAGTCATTAACCTGGATATCTAAAAGCGACATCACAGATTTAATGCTCAGTGTCTATCCTTTCAGAGTTGACACATATCTACTCAACATGGACTCAAAACATTAGCTTGTACAAGATAATCAATCCATAATAAATATGATGAACATAACAAACAAAAGCTGGAGAGCTTAAGCTTTTTACCACTATTCACGGTTATGCACGTCAACCCAATAGTTATTTTAGGTTAGTTTTTGATTGTAATTTTTAGCCTTTGGTGGTGAATGAGAAAATTTACTGGCCACAAAAAAGTACTGGCCTGTTTGGTCTAAAATAATAAACCCATTTTGAAAATAGCATTATCAACTGTATAGCACTTTTCACAAAATATACAGTATATATTTCTAAGCAGCTTTACAAAAAAAATCATTTAATTTATGAGTGAAAAGGGTCATGGTGTATATGATAAGAAAAAGAGTTTTGTTCCTCATATTTTAATTTCCAGGGAAATAATCTAAGACATTTTACTGTAAAAACAGTGTATTTTGTGAAATATTATGACAATTAAAATAACTGCATTTAAGTTGATTGTCCTTAAAAATGGTGAAATTTGACATATTACAGGTTTTGAGACCATATTAAAGCTTGGTTCAAACCCTTTCCAATTCTTTCATTGTTTGTCTGTAACAAAAGTTATGGTTATCTGAAGTCGGCTGATCGCTATGATTTTCAGAAATGGAATTTTGAGAAAAATAGATTTAATTAACGGTCATGTCCTGCGAGCGGGATGATTGGCGCTCCCTTTTTTACTGCCTTTTTTTCCATATCACATATTTTAGTAATCATCATAGATTAGGTACCATTCAAAAGATTACAAACTCAAAATTCAACCTGAGAAAACCATCTTGAAATTGGACTTCTTTCTTTAAGAAGAAAGAAAGTCTTTCTTAAAGAGAAACAGTCTTTTCAGCTGGATATTATAAAATCACTATTTTTCTGCTCTAAACTAATGAATTTTCCCAAGATATATTCAGAGATGATAAACAAGATGTTATAGAATAATAATTTAATACAAATAATAATTTAATAAAAACCCAATTTTGAGAAAAAACTGACATTCAATCTAGATTTAGACTTTACTGCTACATTTTAGACTTTACTTTAGACTTTTGTGCGACATCTGACGGGTTTTCCAAGATCGCATCATATATATATATATATATATATATATATATATATACTGTATATACACATTAGGGGTGTAACGATACACAACTTCGTATTGACCCGTTCGGTACGTGGCATTCGGTTTGGTTTTCGGTACGCATTTTTGAACCAAATGGTTCGTTGGAACCATTATTCCTTTCCTCCATGTAGGCGCGTTGTGCGTGGCAAGCATGCTCATAATGTAAGAGACATTGTGTCTGTGAACACAACATTAACATCAAATGGCAAATGTAATGTAAGCGGAACGAAACTGAGTTAATCGTTATTGTGAGGTTGACGGACTGTTTATCAGTTTGGACCAATGCAGCGCGAGCCGGTGTTAATCAAGCAGCACTGCTACTACACAGCCAAATCCATTAAAGAAAGCATTTGAATTCCACTGAAATAATAACATTGTTGCAAAATCTAGTGGGAAACATTCACATTTCTCCGTTATTAACGGACCAAACAGCGCTGATGTGGAAACCAGGAAGAAACTTTGTGCCATGAATGAACTATTCAGTGTCCACAGATCAGCAACATTCACCATGGAGTTACTGTAGTAACACTAACTGTTACCATGGAAGTTTGACAGGAATAGTAAGATAAGCTAAAATGCTTTCAAATAACATCACATCGGTTTTATTTTGACATTATAAATACAATTGCTGCCCTCAAATGTTAATCTGAACTAAAAAAAACCCTTTTTTATTACTACTACAATATTATATCGTATCTATCTATCTATCTATCTATCTATCTATCTATCTATCTATCTATCTATCTATCTATCTATCTATCTATCTATCTATCTATCTATCTATCTATCTATCTATCTATCTATCTATCTATCTATCTATCTATCAATCAATTTTAATTTGCCAAATTTATCATAATTTTCCACACTTCCCATTATGCCTATTTGATAACCACTGGTTTAGTGAGATTAAAATTCATAATCACAGTAAAAACAATAACACGGCTAAGCATCAATGCTTTATTCTATACCTGGGAGAAATCCCAAGCCAGACGAACCCTGACGCATTATTCATACCTTGAAATATGAAACACCTGGTCCGCCATCTGCTTTTGTACAATAACCACACACTATGTAGGAAAGTTCACCTCAAATGTCACGCCAACAGCGTAAACGGTCACAATGTTACGATACTACCTTAAAGAAATCTTTACAACAAAGTAATTAGCCCTTAACAGATTGTTTCTGATCTTTCTTTATCCGTAGCATCTAACATATGGGGAACAGATGGAATACCGACCTTCTAGAGAGCAACCAAACAACTCAAACAAAAAGTGTTCGAAAAAAATATTCTGGATGTATGGCATCATATGTTCTAGCTACTTGACTGCATGAGACGCATTTCACAGAGGTCTCGGGTAGCCCGGTCTTAAAGTCGCTTAGCTGTGAAGTGTGGTGTCGAAGGGTAAAGAGAGCACTCACCGGTTCTTTAGCTTTCTGCGCTAACACTGCAAAGGTGGACAGCTTGCTGCACAGACATTTGGTGTGGGAGACTGCCGGCGATGGGAGCGTTTGGCAGCTCTCTGCGTCCCAGTTTTCTTCGCCAGCCTCTCTGTTGATGGGGTAAAGCGACAACACACACAAACACACACACAGGAAAAAAAGAGAATGAATTAATTGGGTCACTCCATGAGTGAGAACAGGAGAGGCCGTAGTGAATAGCACAGTGCCACGAGAACTAGTCGATGACAACTGCACTCCAAATGCTCTCAGCCACAACGCCCCTCAAGTCCACCATTCTTGCTTATATAAAGGGCTGGCCTATTCATCTAGTCTTTCCGTAAATATATGATTGTCTCGTCATTGCCTTCCATCAGTCTCTTACTCCATGTTCTCAAAATGTCTAGCAGAAGCGCTCAAATTCCCATGGCTTACCTTTTACAATGCCGGTATATGAACTGTAATTATAATCATGTGATTGTTGAAAGTCTTCAAACTACTTTCATTTACTTCTTTCAGTCATCCTTGAACAATCCACTTAACAGTGTGTATATATAGACTATAGTTCGGAGACTAAGAAGATTATTTTATA